CACTCTCAATGGCTATGAGACGTCTTTTAAATGACGAAGTATATTAATTTGTTCAGCATTCATCATACGTCACGACGCCCTCTTCATTGTTCCAAAATATATTGGAATGTTCAGATTGTAATTATTTTTGCTGTGGTAATCAAATTTGGTTTTGAGTTGCCGGTTATGTGTGGGAGAGATATTTGTTAATGGTATTATTTGTTTGCATATGAATGTTTGAAATGATACAAATGAACGATAGACATAGGCTTGCAATATATTGAACGGAGGATATAGACTTGCAATGTAATGATGTAATAAATTAATAGCAAATTTGGATATGAACAGATTAAATATAATCAAATTAGTAAAAGCAATTAATACAATTATTTGTGTACACCTAATTTAAACCAACGTATCGATCTCGGATAATGTTGTAATTTGATAGTTCTTTGATCGTAATTCGGCTGCCGTTGCGTCTGCGGTTGCCTTCGTTGTGACGGACGCTGACATTGAGTGCACTCTTTGGGGTTAATATTTGTGGTGGGAAGAGGGGTTTGGGATAGAGTTAAAGCGTGGGTCGAATTTCCTATCGACCTTCGTGTATCTCAATACAGCGAGATACTTTGTTTGCTTACTGTTGCCAACAGTAAATGATTTTTGGTAATGATTCCAATTACTTCGATCATTTTAAAAGAGTGATTACCAGTATGAGATCTGCAACTTGATTTTGTATTGGCTCGCTACCAATAATCTTTAGTGTCTTTGATCTTTGGCTCGATCTCAAACTTCGGTAATTAAACCTATGTTATTACATGACACAATTAGCGCGATTCACGAGAAATATTATATCGTAGTTGGGGTACAATTATGACTAAACAACTTCACCAATACTCATTATCTGAGTAATATTGTTTGTCAGGTTCCCTTTTGAGCAATTGGTTTGCGTGTCTTTACCTAATATTTGCCAACTTGTACGTCATATAACACTCTGCCTCTTTTCTTGAGGATAACTTCATTCTCCCAATCTTTTTGCTGACCGTGATAACTTCGAACATAAACAAGATCACCACTGACGATCACATTTGGCATGCCGAAGTGAGCAAAGAGTTGGCGCATGAAACGGAGGGTGGTTGAGATTGCTATGCGGTCCGTCATGAATATTTCTGGACATATGGAGAACGAGTCGACGATAACAAGGAAAATCAATTCTCTAAAAAGACTCGCATAATCCACATGGACCATGGCATGTCTTGTTTTGTCCATGAGGCAAGGGGGGCCTTGACGGGAGCCTTAAGGGCTGGTTTACATGGTTCACATTGTCTGACTGTATTTTCAATATCATTATCAATACCTGGCCAATAGACGTAACGGCGAGCTAGGGCTTTCATTCTGTTTATCCTCTTATATGGTTGTTTCAGCACTTTTTGTTGGTAGACATTCGAGGTGATAACGCGATCTGCCGTCAAAAGACATCCATTGGTGATACAGAGGGAGTGAAGTCAATTAAATAAATGTTGAAGTTGCTGATTGTTGATTTGCTTGGGCCACCTGGAGTTGACGAATTTCATTGCCCTTTTTAGAAGATGGTCTTTCTGCGTTGCATCTGCAACTTGTTTTGCGATATACGGGAGAGATTGGATGGCATCGTTGAGCGAACGATGAACATCTTTTTCGACATTTATTGCTGCGACGACGATGCCTTCATTTGTTGTAGAAAAGCAGTGCTGAAACATTCTAAGTGATTGCCACCCTTACCACCGTTACTATGGATTATATCATTGCGATGTCAGTGAACACCATCGCTACTTTGAAAATCGTTATTTTTATCATTTTCGTTGTTTTTAGTGTTCGTAATGTAATACTGCCATTGCAGTATTATAAGGTACGATTCACATTTTTCCTCTCACAATTAATAATCTGTTATTGTTTGATATTTTTATGATGATCTTCAGCAGCATAGTAACAATTTTTTTTCATCACTGCTTATCTCCATTGAATTGTTCTCGTAATACACTTTACTCATCATTTGCTCTGTGATGTTTTAAACCATATCATGCGATTTGGAATGCGATTTTTTCATCGCCAATGAGCAGTGCAAGGTTCACTTAAGGAATCACTGACAAATACTCATATCAGCTCTTGTCATGCCATCTTTTATTAGGTAAATGCTGAATGTAAACAAATAAGGACCATGGAAGTAGGTAAGAACGGCTAATTTTTAAACTGCACGCTTTTATTTATTATGGATACTTGTAGACATATAGTAGTTAACACATGTTCCTCTGATTGAGATAACGCTGATAAATAGCAATTGAAAATGAGAAAGTGTGATTTGGATCATATACTATCACACAATAACGAGTGATAATTAAGTAATTATTCAAGTTTGACAACGTTGACGATTTTGCTGAAATCGCCAGCTTATCATCAATTACATCTGCTCATCACTCCTTATTTAATGCTGCCTAGTAAAGAATATAATCCAAACTAGTGTTCGTCGGGGAGCAATTTTTTGCACGGGGGGGG